GCTGTGAAAATTTGGTGTTAATCCGACGACAATAAGTATACGTTATTTTTTGTTAAAGACCGTGTATTTTGAAAAAAACATAAACTCCTGGAAAACGTCCATGAAGTAACAGCAAAGATTTTCAAGCTTGTTTATCGCACAATCGATTTGTTTTCTCATCACGGAAGGTCTGTTTTAACATGTGCAGGGGCATCCAAATGTGTAAGGCTGTTGGAAACCAAAAAATTAAAGGAATGGGATAGCTATAATTCGATACAATCGGCAGATGAAAACACTAAATCAATGATTTTTTTCAGTGGCTGTGTGACCTTGTGTTTGACACATTCGTATGCAAATGACTAATCTGTGAAATAAACAGGGGCGGAGACAAACCACTCAAATGTTTGGAAACTCTAATTGTGTGTCAGATAGCTACTGATAACACATCCTAACATTGCTTTGTCTTGAGTTAATTTTTGAAACTTATAGGCACAGCATATTAAACCTGTGTTGTTGATTTTGGAAAACACTACTGAAGCTGCCTTGCTTCCCTTTAGAAAATCTACATTTTAACCAACTTACATGACATTCTAGGTTACGTTGACTTTATCAGATGAAAGTTTATAGTGCATTTCATCAATTAATAAATGAATGTGAAAATCGTAATTTTCAACACAAATAATAGTCTCGCTACCATAACTTAAGAAACTTAAATTTTTTTTTCTAAATCTTTTCTTTTGCCATTCTGTACTCCTTTTCAAACAAATAGTTAGACATACTGTGTCATGTGACCACCAACTTGCAAAAAATAGAAAACTATTAAAATTGGTTACTCCAATTATTAAATTGGGAATTATAAGCTATTTCACAACGGGACAGTGTAGTAAATGAGTACTTGAATCAGAACCCTGCTTTTAGAGACTGTACTTATAAGTGAATTATTTAATTAGGTTTTGTCTTTGAAAGGGGTGTTCGTGTCATAAATCATGAAATGTCACTAGGTCATTGATGTTAAGTTTATTACAACACTATTTCGTACTTCATATTAAGTCGATGTATTTATCATATCAAAAATGTCTAAACACTGTGTGACTAAAGTGCTGTATGCAAACGTCAATGAAGGGCATGAATAGTAAAAATCGTGATTGGACACATGTGCTATGAACACCTTAAATGCATGTTGTGTTCTCGATACAAGCAGCCACGACAGTGTGCATACCATACAAACAGGTATGAATAGATCTACCACTTGTACATGTATGTGTATTTCCACTTATTGATGATGTAAGGTTTATTCTAAATATAATTTTACAGCTTATGCAGTTGTTAGCCATAATAATATCTATTTTACTTAAAATCACCTGCGCATGCGTTAGATGGCCATAGCTTGTCATTGTTTACAAACAAGCGTCTACCCATGAGTCTTTGCGTTTTTAGCATGCGTGTTATCGTCGCTGGGACACAATTCCCGCGCGTGCGCTGGTGACGACCCTCCCGCTTTAACATATACACCAAAATAAACCATAAGTCACCTTTTTGTTTGTTCACAAAGTGCTAAACAAATACGTTGTTAGATGAATACCGTAGTGGGACAATGTTATTAAAATCATCTCTAAGTCACGTGACCAGTATCCAACCGGGAAATATATATTATATACACCATACATGCAATATCAATACAATGTACAATAATGAAGAAACAATAGTTGAGTATGACGTCACCCTGGCTTCGATTTGAATCGAACATTATTAAGGTTAACTTGAACTGATTTCATCCCGACCAGCATATATCATCATTTATTTTTAGGAACACATAATATGTATGATAAGTCGTAATAGCTAGTGAATACACATTGCACTTAAATAACCCGCAAATAAGTGGGCAAAACAAAAATATGTAATGGGATGATTGTTGGGACACAACAAGACACATTAGTGAAGAATGTTTTTCATCAAGATGGTTTAAATAATATGCCTGATTATATAGTTCAGCAACAAACTTATATCGAAATACTTCTTTAATAAGATTTCATTATATAACTTCAAATTTGACGCTCTTTTATGGGGAATAGTCAGCCAGATTATCTGTCGTGCATAATGGTTTGATCAGCATTTGTACTGTTTGTCATTATGTTTGTGATATTAAGTCCAATCAATCATTGTTTGGTGTTTGGATAACAACTGACCTGGGAGATTACTAGGTATTGCACAGTACTTCACATTTATTTCCGATCACTGGTGTGGAAACAATTAATAAAGATATACACAATATACACCGATATATGTATATATGTTTTGAATACTATTTAGGACATCAGTGCCTACAGTCTGGTGTTGTCTGCAACCTTCGACAAATGTTTAGATCAAACAGATCCAATCAATATAAAGGAATAAATGTTTGTGAATAATACACTGATACTCACTTAATATTATATTTATAAAATCAGCACAGAGCAAATCAGATATCTGTATTTAAGATTTAAAAAAGACAAGATTTAGACAAATACAGTGATACACTGCGTAGTGATTATAACTCATACGTCTTGTTAAAAAACAAAAAAACAAGCGCACCCAGTGAGATGTTAATGCATTTTTGTTTCGCAGTTTAGTCACAACTATCCGCAGTAATTCGCAGGTTTCAACACGTTATATTGGAAAGGCAAAAATTAAATATCAGAATATGTTGATTGATTACATATTTATTGGATCACTAATTTCAAATTGCTTTATTTTTTGCGTTGTCAAGATTGTAATAGTAAATACTGGCTTCAGCTTCTTTGCTTACAAAACATACCTAGTTAGACGTACCAAGGTATATATATATATATATATATTCAGGAACAATAACAAAATTTCAATTTGTATTTTTAATTATTGAAAACTATCACGCACTGAATGATATGCACCACTTGCTCACACATCTCGTTGTTTTTTAACAGGCTATTATGGTAGACATAAATGAAAACACCGCTGTGTGACACCCTGCAGCCTGTCTGTTGAAATTAAGCACCGGTGTCTATTTCAGCTGTCGCTTTACCTAGTCCATGTGAAGATGCATCGCCAGTTTATTTTTACGTTTTCAAATAATTTTGCAATTCGCTAACAGAAAATCGAACTGTTGGATTTATATTCACCCACCACCACATGTTAGGTCAATATTTCAACAATGAAATCAACAATATTTTGCATTCAGAAAATAAGTAAGCAAAATTACATATCAATGTTATCAATATGCCTAGTTTGCAAACGTTCTCCGAGATCTCGCTTCGAACGAGAGAGCCACGTAATTTGTTTTTGACTTTCAAATATTGTGTCTTTTTATCGCGACTACTACTATTCTGCTGGTATATCTAACAATATTATTTTTAACAGTAGACGCGAAGGCGGCATAGCATAAAACACTATTCGAGTCAAAAAGCTACTTACAAGATTGTGCCTGATTGGCTACCTAACCATAACACCTAACAGTCAGACCAATCACAGAGCAGCTTTTTTGTCGACAGGGTTTTGTCGACGTATCAAATTCTGCCTTGTATAAATGCTTCGACTCCGCCGCACGCTTTTCTCGAACTAGACGAGATTTCGGTGGCCATTTGCAAATACGATAACAGGTTCTGTGCAACAATAAATCATAATTAGAAAGACTGCAAACGAAAGATTGATTAACCAAGATTCATCACAATATCAAATCAATTTAAATATTCTCATCTTTTATATTTCTTTTAAATAAGTAAGCAAGCATGTGAAAAAAAATCAAATATCTCTGCTTCGCCCAAATGGTATGATATTACTTATTTTGTATAGGGAAGTTTTGAATTCTCGAATCACTCTATATATTCTTACACCGCTGAAGGAAAATGAAATCAAACAATAACTGATAAAAATTGTATTGATAAATATTTACAGCCGTGTGATATTTATACACGTTTAGAAAAGGCACGACTGTTTTTTTATAAAATATTTACACCGGGAGACACTTGCGCCACGCTGAAATCATCGTTCAATTAGTTGTAATGGTTCAGTAGATACTCGGTAATGTACCTGGAGTCTCCTGTCTCTCAATCGTGCCCAATTTACGCAGATAAATCCCATCAAATCATCACTACATTTGTGTACAAATTGTTTAAGTTATAAAAATCATGCCAGAGGAAAGTTCACAGGAAATCGTCAAAAGCTCGAATGGTATTCATCGTTTAAAATTCATAAAACATTTATCTAAACAAATATTTCGACTCTAAACCCAAATATGTTAATTTGTTGTTTTTTTGGTTGTTTTTTTCGGAGATGTTTATTACACTTTTACGTCCCTCTACTTAGCTGGAAATCTAAGACAATATAATATTGTTTAAGCATGTATGTAAAGTATATCCTACGTATGTCGTCATTATATGCATACACTTTTGGTGTAGATGTTGCTCATGAACGTGTACAGCCTCGAAACATGGAAATATTAATACTATGTGAATTCAGTTTGGTAATTTAATTTCCTGTCCCAAAATAAATCACTAACTAAACTCACCTGCATTTATCAGATGTTGATACTGTTTATTAAAGTAATCGTCATCATGAACAATAAGATTGTATTTTTAGATTCAGCAATGTTGTGATCCGATGACTTATCGGTTATAAATGATCAGTAAGCAAATAATTGTCAAAAATGTACAATATATAATATTCCACTGTTGTACATTACGTAAGCACGTCACAGATTTGTATTTCAAATGCGAAACATTGTACCGGAAGAATGGACGAAACGGAAATAAATAAGCATAATTCATTTGACGTCAGTTTCGTCGCGATTCGACAGTGGTATATTCTAACCAATGGTCAAACGAATCACAATTGGCTGATAAGTAATTTACAACTATCGTAATCACATTGAACAAATCACCATCGTCACATATGGTGCCAGTGCTGTGGTCGCTATTTTTTTCAAAACCCTGGATGTTTTCAGATATAGAGAACGTATTGCTTCAAAATTCATTTCTATTATCAGTTTATCGAACGAACCCATCGACAAGATGTGTGGCTGGTTACTGTTAACTTTGTTGTTGGCCTATAATGGCTCTGGCACGCTGGCCAAGAAACGGGTGAGTGTAATATTATAATAGTGGGACATATGGATGTTTTGCGTTAAGAGCTTTTTTTATTTCCATGGAAAGTTTTGTTTTACCATTGACTACGACTTGTAGGGCTTGGAGTAATGAAACTTCGTGCTAAGTGTTGCATTTCCCGTGATATTATTGTGAATAATGAGCGCAATTCGAGAAAAAAAGTATACTTTTACAATATATCGGGTTTAATCTTTAATTTTACCTTCATCATTTTGTACTACATTACAAGAAGCGCGCCACGGACAAAGACATGCATGGATAATACAGATGTACACGCCCTTCGTTCTAAAGCAATCCATATTTAATCTCGGGCGTGGCACATTCAACCTTGTCTCTAATATTTACTCACACACGCCCCTCACACACGCAACATCATACTTGAAAGAAATAAAGCGTCCAATTAGATGAAGATGAGAATTGGCAAGTAGAATATAGTTGCTGTGGCTTGATAAAAAAACTAGTCGACTTAATTATATGCTACAAGTTTCATTACGGTATTCATTGCCTTGTTAAACACGAAGCAATACACTTGGACACCTCTCAACATTTATTGTGGGTTTGCCGGGAAAAAAGTGCTACCCTGACGGCAAAACCAAGAGCACGCACGCTTCAGTGTAATTCGATAGTAATACTGATTTTTACATATATTACCTTATACCGCGTGTTGTGGGGTCCTGCAGGTGGTATTTTGTGACAGTGACTATCACAATATGAATATGTAAGGAATGCATGTCGTCCGATATGCGTAGTACGGTACGGTACAGTGATATTAAAGCATTCAACTGAATCGAGATGCTTGATGTTTTGATGTTGAATACAGGCTGTTTCACCTAAAGTGTACGCTTCAGTTTACCTCCATAGTTTGGGCTGTCAGGATAAAGCATGTGTGTGTGTAGTTTGTGTTGTTTTACGTGTAAACCTCTAGTGAAAACATCGACAGTCTGTGTGTGTTCTATTTTAACTTTTTAATTGACAGACATTAATATAAATATTACACTATATTTTCTATTCTATTCTATTCTATTCTATTCTATTCTATTCTATTCTATTCTAGTCTATTCTAGTCTAGTCTAGTCTAGTCTAGTCTAGTCTAGTCTAGTCTAGTCTAGTCTAGTCTAGTCTAGTCTAGTCTAGTCTATTCTATTCTAGTCTAGTCTAGTCTAGTCTAGTCTAGTCTAGTCTAGTCTAGTCTAGTCTAGTCTAGTCTAGTCTAGTCTAGTTGGTTATGTATTCGATCACTAAAAATAACTTTTACGCAGGCGATTGATTACACAGCTTCTAACATTATCGAACGAATGGCAAGATGTGAGTGAAGTATTATTTTATAATTAATAATAATTTTATTGTTATAGTTACACAGCGATGAAAATGATTGCTGGTTCAAAATAATTGATTTAAAGTACACAGCGTAAGCATATGCAAAACATTAGCTGTCCTTGAAAATAATGTAAGCTTCAAATAAAGCTCGTTTCACAAAAAAACTAGAGCGACGATTGGAGATGCTTGCCAGTCTTATAACGGCGCTTTATAAGTTCAATGATATCAATATTTTCGGAAAATCTAAACACCACGCAGTGCGTATTTGAATCCCATGTGACAAACAATGCATTTTTTACACGTTGAAATCGTTACCGATCATCACACTTAAATTGCAATTAGAAAAACAATAAATTGTCAAAACTGTACTTCAGTTTGTTCTAGTCATTTGTTATTTCATCTAGTACTAACAAAGAAAGACGCAGTTCATGTATTTTACTAAATAAAGAAACAGAGGCGTTAACTGCTTGTTTATTGACGAATATATTCTCATACACGTAGATAATATCATCGTATCACACCAACGTCTTGGTGATTGTTCCTACGACATTAACTTCAGAAGAGCTGACAACACTCCGCCGGCGTATGATATGATGATCCATTACGCTATTGACGACAGCGTTTATTTGCTTGAGGTTCCAGTGGACACAGGCTCCATACTCATTCCGGCGGAGGCTGAGACAGTGACGCTGAACTGGTTCCCACCTGATGGATTTGTACTCCCGTTTGATGTTTCGGGAGTAACTCAAATTTCAAACGCGACGGGCGGTACCGTGGAACAACACACAATGGGTGAGTCAGATTCTTAAAAAATATTATTATATCATTGGTTTCGTGACATACGGTGAAGGTAATTATTTTTAGCGTGAAGTAAGCTAATTTATTGAATTAGTTACATGTCTTTGTCGAATGTATATGAAATGTGAAGGGCTAATATCTGCAATAAAACACAAGGGACAAAACGTGATACAAATACTGCTCTAACCAGTTTCTCAGTTATGTCAGTGTATTTCAAGCTCACTGCTGAATTACACGACATGGCGTATCAGTGACATGTATTTTAATATATACTGACCCGATATAACCTCTAATAATATTACATCGAATTGTGTCTGCATAGAAAGGTGGATATGAAAAAGCCCCCCATCTTTTTTCGCAAATCTTTTATCAAATGACTACAATAGTTTTGTTTTGTCATGTACCTATCAAATCATGCTAAGTTTTATATTTTCAGGAATAGTTAGGCTAAAAAGAATGTGTTGCGGCATCGTGCGCACCATTTTGAAAACCTGTGCCCACACATTATTTTTGCACTTTTGCGCATCAGTGACATACGCCACAAACGGTAGAATTGGAAAACTATAACTCTGTTATAATGAACTTTTTTATAAATCCCAACAAACTTTCAATTCATGTATTTTCAATCAGTAGTTAACATTTGTTAAACTTAATATGCATAATTTCTCGTTTTGTGTAAAAACTACATTACAGCATTATTACTTTGTTAATTTTCCTTGGGATATGAAGGAACATTCTGTTAATAATAACAATCCTAACTGATATCTATAAATATAAACATGACGTACATGTACATATATTCTAGCTAAGCCAGATCTTACAGAACTGGACAGCGAAATGTTGTTTCCACAGCAATTAAATTGTCGTTTTAATTAAAAATATTAGAATCATCATTATGTATAAACGTATGCAGGAAAAAAAACTGGGTATCACATAGAAGCTGAATCTAATCTTCCAACAATTGCTTTCCATGTTTGAAGCTGATGGACCATGTACACCAGCTAGAACCCGGGGAGACCCGCATTTGAGAACATTCGATGGTCATGGCTACTCCTTTCAAGGACTGTGTTGGTACACACTCGCCAAGCACTGTACTGACAATCCAGATTTTGAAGTCACGGCAGAATTCACACCCAGAGAGTCATCTGGCACCGAGCTGAAAACACGTGCTGTGAGATTGAATGTGACCGTTGGTGACGAGGTTATCTCCATGGATACAAACAATGACGTCACGGTAAACATGCATTGTAATTAACTTTGGACTTTGAAAATTAATTTTTGAAGTAGTCAAGGTATCTCGTAAACTCACTGAGCGGGGCACGCCTCTGACGTAATATGCATACATAACTATGTTGCTATTCAAGAGATATATCTACATTCTCATAGCTAATATACATATCGGAAGTGAAGTGAAGTAGATCTAAACATTTCTGAAAATTTGAAATTTGAACTCACAGAATAAATAGATCTGCTTTCATAATTGATTGTCTGTTTGAAATTCAAAGTGTTGTTCATAATATATATGGTAATATTAACGCATAACGCTATGGGGAATACTCGATGATCAATCTAAGACTATTCTGCGCATATTAAAGATACCATATTCTAACACATATGCTTGTTAAGGGTTTTAAACCTCACATGCATGTCCGTTCAGATACAAATAATGTGAAAACTTCTTGAGGTTTTGACTGGGGAATTATTAATTTTCAAATTCTAATGCTTAGATCTTCGATATTCCATTGAAATCATCTATATTCATTAATTGTGAAAAAAAAGTAAATGTTTTTCCAATATACATATAATTTGGGGGGAAATAAAGGTACTGCTAACAAACGTTAAATCAGGTGAAATCACTTATTCATCTTATACAGATACGTTTTTTTTTTAATTGCCGGGAGGGATTCCCTTCACACGGGAACTAATAGTATAGATATTAGTATAGAAACAAAAATGTAGAAAATTAATATTTATTGACAACTTATACAATTAGGAAAGAATTACCATGAAATTTCCACGCGGTGTCGCTTTGATATAAGTACTATCGACTATCGTTTAGGAGAAATCTGGATCTGGTTTTCCAAAAATAAGCAATTTCGGGAATGATTTTTTCTTTGATACAAATATCATGAAACGAGAACCATTCGAATAAATGCAGGAGAAGATTGGATCTTATTGTCTTGAAAACGTTCAATGATTATTCATGACCAGAAAACTAAAATATAATGATTTTTAAAAAGGCATTTGCCGTCGGGGTATCTTTTAGTTTAATAGAAATGCCATTAGTTTATTGCCATGGTTCAAACACTCACCTTGTATGATGCTCATACCAGTGTGAAAGAAGCCTGTATAAGCATGCCCGACAAACAATTTACCACATATTCAAACTGACCGCCAGCCGGTTTAATAGTTAATAATTTATTTAAAATTTCTGTTTCTATATATTTTGCAGATTAATGGGAATTCACTATGGGTTGCTAAGCTACGCGGACAACCCAAAAATGCACAAATCACAGTCGACGACTCCAGAGTCATCGTGAGGGTTGCACAATACAACTTGGATATATTATGGGAAGGGCGTAAGCACGCATTCAGCGCATCAATTTACCACCCAGATTACAATGGTAACATATGTGGTCTCCTTGGCAACGCTGATGGTAATCCATTGAATGATTTCCAGAAACGGGATGGCAGCCATACTAAGGTAGTAAACGATTTTGGAGAGAGTTGGAAGGTATACGATTCAAGGTGAGTATAATATATATAATAGTGAGACAAATAAAGAGGCAAATTTGGATTCATGTCTTGCTTTTTGCAAATTCAATTCTATATTAATACATGTTTAAAATGTAGTCGGCCATTCTGCCGGTCGGCCATTTTTTAATCAAATAGCGATACGAAATGGCATGGTTCAAAAACCCCACCTTGTATGATTCTCATAGCAGTGTGAAAGAGAGTATATTAAGCATTCCCGACAAACAATTGATCACATATTCAAATTTATTGGTGACTTTTCAACCAAAACTGACCGCCAGCCGGTGAAGGTCAAATAACAAAATCGATCTAGTCATGTCCGACAGACGACGTCGAAAAGACGGCTAGGAGCACGGACAGAATTCGGAATATAAGTACCCGTTTCGAACTTCATCAAACGAGAACTGTAAATAGCTAGCCCCTTCGAAATTTGCAAATTTTTCACACAAAGAGCCAAAAGTCAAGTCATACTATGCGTTTGAAATGTTCAGTATTGCAATACAAGTGGAGTTGCCAGGGCCTTCAAATTCAGCACACGTGTTCCCAAGTGAATCACACGACCTGGTTATAATTCAAGGTCAAATGTGAACGTCACAGGGTTCTAAAGCATATTCCCGGCCAAAACTATGTTGTTATAGATATTGAAGACATTTTACATACGTTTGTATTCACGTCACTGCTGTCTACGTAATACCATTTTTACTTTCTATTCACAGGTGTGATTATTAAGGTTATTTCCTGAGCATAGCGCAGACGCTCACTCGAACATGCCCGCCGTCACTTCGCATTAACGAAGTCAATCTCACTGCCGATTGCCAATACATTTTACTTCTATACTTATATATTTACTTCTCAATTCAATTTTTGTGAATGTATTATAATAGTTATTTAGTACTTTATTTGCCAAATGCTTGATAAAAATTCCAACTCCAAAGTGTGATTTTAAAGTGTTATGTAAAAACAAACGGATAATTTGATAAAAAAAGCCAAAGACGTCTATGTTTCCAGGTATACCTTTAATTTTAAAATAAATGTTTACTATTTATCATTTATTTAAACTAAACTAAATTTGGAGGATGACGTCACACTAGATGCCCTAATTGACATCATCAGATTTGCAATGACAATTAATAAAATAACAACACAAACTTTTTTATGGAATTTCCACATATTCTTGGCTTACCTTTGCCGTGAAAATTATATAACAGACTGTCCCAAGAGTTCTACATGGAATTGCCAACAAAAGTGTCACTCAATTCAATAGGGTATCATAGTAATCAGTTTTGATTACATGGGGAGGGTGTATCGCAATCGCTCTTATAGGAGAGAATTGTGTTATACAGTCTTCATCTGTGTATTATGTTAATTGTCAGTGTCGACCCAGGGAGAGAATTTGAACTTTTTTTATCATCGAGAGCGCCCACCTTCACAGTAGCGAATTAAACGTTAAGGTTAGAGCGACCAATCTCCAAGGCAACGATACATGAAGCGCCATCAAAGGCGTAGGAAGTCTTACTAATCATATGAATGTTTTGGTAACAACTGTCAGTACACCAGGCAATGTGGAGCAACTTCTAGCTTTTCTGACTTTTGCTAGCTCTATTGGTGGCTCTCATACCTCAAATCTGAATACGTTATTGAAAAGCTATATTGTGTCAGACTTATTGTGTATTTTCGTAAAGCAAATTTGAATTAGAACAAACACAACGTCTTAAATTTAGTGTATACATGTCTTTCTTTCATACCATTAATCCACGGAATAAAAAAGTGAAAGGTAACGGAGATCATGGGTCACAATGCTGGGTTCAATGAAACGTTTTTATCAGTCCGTAAATGTGCTAAACATGCTTTGTCTTTAGTAAATATATCGCGTTGCAGTCATGTTCATGAACAAACATTTCTGCATTCTTATCCAGAAAACTAAAAACTACTACTACCTTCTACTATCTTCATTCATCTTACCTTCAATACGCAATGTGCACCACCTTTTCCTGTACGCATGCGCCCTTTGCAGTCGTTTTGATTACATGGCTAAATCCATGTATCCATATACTACTAAGAATTACAAGTAGTTTGAAAATTACCTAACTTTATTGTTCAAGTCCAGTCGCACGGCTCCAAATAACCAAAAAAAAATAGTTTTAATAGTACGTACTCAAATCAATCAACTTGATATCTTGCAGGTAAGGCAAGAGCCTTTTAACATGCGAAAATAACACATAGTTTAGTCCCTAACAGACCCAAAATTCAATTTAAAAAATATTGTTTCGATAGATTGATCTCAAATATAGTATGTAATATCTATGTTAAGAATAACAGACATATGCATTGAAAATCAAATCAATCGCTATGTTGATTATAGATTCATTATTATTTTGTGAACTCACACACATTGTTTGAAGGGCAGATGGCTGCCGCGCCGCGAGCTGTTCGATATGGGACTCACAGTGACGTTTACAACGCGTGTAATATAGTATATTTTTATATATTATATGAAATTTGAAGATGCGCTGCGCGACGACTACCGCCCGTTCAGAAACGAGCGTTCCCATTGCTCCAGGAATGCATTTATGGGCAAAGATAGAACAAATATCCGGTGTCGGCAAGGTTGAATTCATGAATGGAATTTACGTATCTACTTGGATATCACGATATTTTATATTTAGTCAACTATTATGCCTGAAAAACTTCCATACGTTATATTCAATATAAATGAATATGTGAAATATCACAGTGACGCTTTATAGTAACCTAACGACGTTCATACATGACGTAAACGAGCTCGCATAGTGCAAAGTAGTTTCAGCCTCGAATATCAGAACGCCGGTATACTTCACTTCAGACATAATCCACTGACGATAGGAGTCGCCTAATGTGTTTCGATTAAAGTCCAATACTAAATTGCACTCACGACTTATAGCTTGATTTGTTATCTTGCGAAATATGAATGCATCTTGTGACAGGTGTCAAATTATTTATGTGTAAACCAGCGCAACTGGGGAACGATTTAGAAGGGATGTCTGGATTCAGCTGACATCAAAAGCTGAACTGAGCATTGTTGTTGCTTTTTATTTAAATAAAATGAAATAAAGTAACGTCCAATATAGTAACAAATATTGTACAACTGTTGAACATTATTAAGTATCGTTCAATATAGGGAGAAATATTTACAACTATTGAACGTTATTAATCGTCCAATATAGTAAC